GGGGGGGGGGGGGGTTGTTGTACATGAAATTATGATTTGAAGTGTGGCACATGTATCTCATTTATGTCACAAATTTGTGACGTTGCGGGGGAGGGGTGGGTTTGGGCCATTATTATTATTTTTATTTTTTTTGGGGGGGGGGGGAGAGGCTGCCCACGTAGTATGTCATCATTTTTGTGATGACCTTTTTGTATATTCCACGTGCCTGACGTATTGAGTCAATTTTATTCGACCACACTGGGGCTTGAGAACATTACATTATTTGTTAGATTTTCGGCGCTCTTGCCAATTTAGTTTTTCACCAGGCGCACTGTATCAAATTCTACCAAATACACTTCTCCGAGAAAGCGATTACATTGTTATTAACTAAAGGGTTGCCCCTTTCCCATGGCCATGCCCAAGGGTGACGTGGCGCATATTTGGGAACCACTGCACTGGCCAAACAGCGGTGGTAAATCCATGATACATTTTTATTATGACATCTTAATTGTGCATAAACAGATTTAATTTTTGTTTTAAATTATTTATTTATTTATTATTTTTTTTAGGGTGGGGGTGGTGGTCGAAAACTCATTGAACATACCAATGGGGGTGTCTAAAAAGCTCTATCGCAACAAAAAGGAGAGGGGCGAAATATTGACTTGTATTGCGTACCTACTATACGAATGGTCCATAATTGGGAGTTTATAACATGCTGTTGTTTAAATTTAGGAAATCTTAAAATTATGTGTAAGTTCATTGCTAATTTCTTGTACAGAATCTGAGCTGACCAAACTATTTCAAAAAATATTAATATTATGACGTTAAAATTCTCACTGCCATTTTGGTTTTTAAAGAAATTACCATCCTTATTTCTTATATTAAGACTATTCGGGACCCTATTGATGGTTTTACTGACCAAAACGTAGAAAATCTATTTTTAATGTGTTACTGATACTGCGTCGATAAATTGTGTAAGTGTATGACTAATTAAGCTTCATCATAATAAATACAAGTTTTCTTTCAGCTATACCCCGGGGGGGGGGGGGCAGTGCCCCCGGGGAAATCCAAATGCCACCCCCGAAGCAAAAATATGTCCAACAAAAAATCAACTGGCACTGCCCCCCCCCCCCGAAAAATCTGAAGTGCCCCCCCCCGGGAAAATTTCTGAAATAATGACCGTTTAAATATCCTACATGACTTAAGTTCTTAAATTTTCCAAGACATTTGTGGTTTTTATATTGTAATTATACAGGCTATTTTTAGGACCCGTGTGTTAATATTTATTTAAAATTTTTTCACCAGCCATTTCAAATGTTATGTCCTGCTGTTTTGCACCTGCCACTTTTTACAAGAAACTGAAATAAATTGAGTGAAAAATTATAACTTTTGACTACTACATTTGTCTGTTTTTTTTGTTTTTTTTTGTGTTTTGTTTTTTTTTTGGGGGGGGGGGGTGTTGGTTTTATTTTAATAGCCGTATGATTGCATCTGCTTCTGTTGAAATTTTCCAATAGCTTTGCTGTCATCTTGCTTCATTTTTCACCAGGCTAACAGCACAGCGTCAAGCAATGTATTCTTTTTGGCAAATGGCAATGGATTAATTTCTGGACATAATCAGGGCTATGCGACTGGGCACTCACTCCGGGCTCCAAAGTTCAGAGTGGTGCCAAACATGNCAACAATTTTTTAGTAAAGTTTTAATGTTGTTTTAATTTACTGTAGCATATTTGTATGGTGAACGAACGGACAGGACATCAGCTTAGTTACTTTCTCTTTATTTTCTCTTTACTTTAATACATTTAAAAAAAAAAAAGTTTTTATCCAATCAATCTAGGGGGGGGGCAATTGCCCCCCCCCTTGCCCCTACCTATGGTGCCAAATCGTCTTTAGCTTGGGATCTTCATTGTAATAATAGTGAAATAAACGATAAAATCTGATGTACTTAAGACAAGGGACGTGACAATCGTATTTTTACTTGTTCACCCCGTGTGGCACCCTTTTCTCTATACTGACGGCCTTCACATTTCCTCGGGACCGTCTTAACTAAATCGGGAGCCCTGGGCAAAGTAATGGATTGATCTCCCATAATGCTCACTGGCATATTCAAGTAATGTTAATAAAAACATTTGAGGTTCAGGTAGGCGCATGCTTCATGACCAGTGTATTTTTCCCTGACCATTTCATTGCGGAATGGGTGGGGTGCTTTTTTTAGGCGCACGGGAAAGGGGGGCAGAGCATCTACTACCAGAGCCAAAACTAGGTATAATGTTGCCCGGGGACACTACTGGCCCTGTCGCCCCCGCCATAGGTGTGATAAACACAAATTCATTCCTATTGGGGCGCACCGTGGGGGTGTACTTCACAAAAAATCCAACTTAGGTTTGTCCCAGGAATCTATATAGTCCAACGGTTACCGGAAATTTGATCGAAAGACATTTCATCGACGGTAAATTGATCGATGGTAATTTGATCGAACGGAAATTTGGTCGAATCGTTTTGTTATTTTTTCCGTTCGTACGTTAAAATTTTCGTCAAATTTCTTTTGAACGCTCAATATTATTTTGTAAAACAAAATAATTCGTTCAAAAAGAAATTTGATGCAAAATTGTAACGTAAAAATTGAAAAGAAGATTCGACCAAATTTCCGTTCGATCATATTACCGTCGACCAATTTACTGTCGACGAAATTTCTTTCGATCAAATTTCCGGATACGTAGTCAACGGTAGTCCAACACAATGAGGGATGGGAATCGAACCGAACTAGAACCCTGATTACAAACAATAAAAATACCGAATTTCAACGACTCTTCAGTACGAACCAACCAGAACGAACCCATCTCAAACTTGATTAGAAGACCAATGTCTCGCTCTTAATGTGGCACATCACTACTTAAGCCAGACATGCTTATATTTTTTATTAAAATTAGAAAACCCAATGGCAAAACGAATTTATGATAAACACATTTTTTTTTCGATCATCCCCTACCCACCAAGTTCACCAACACCCTATCGCACACAGAGACGATGTGTCGGCTATGATTGCTTTACAAATTAAACAATCCATTGCAATTGCATCCGACTCTTTTTGGTCAAGTGTCACTGTGTCAGCAACTTTTTGTAGCTTTTCGTCCACCGAAGGACTCCCTGTTTGGTTTGGGGGGGGGGGTGGGGGTGGTTACACCAATTTCCTTGCACAAATTTTATGTTTATACTCAAAAGGGGCGCCAAAGTTAAGTTTGTCCGGGGCGTCAGCAAACATGTAGGGGTGGCCCTGACCATAATACTAATAGTGAGGCCAGACAGTCATTGACTATCAGTTGGGTTTGAAAAGATAAAAATAAGTTAACAAGGATAAACGGGGAGGGGGGGGTGTATTGGATTGGCTATCACTTATTTGTCTCGGTTTAATCTCGGATCTCGGTAATGATGTGACCAAGTCAAAAGACAAAAATAACACCACATAATCTAGTCATAATATATAGTGTCATTTAGATCAAAATTTACGTATTATGCTTTTCACAAGAACTTAAATGTTTTGAAATATTTAAAATAAGGTAAATTACACTATTATAACAATTATTACTAAATTGTAGTGTCTAATCTACGCTATCCTGTAGACTTTCGGTATAGTCTACTATAATGATAATTATTATAAAAATTATTATACTATAATTACTATAATGATAATTAATTATAGTATAATAATTTTTAATAAGTCATTCATATACTTATAACTATAACTTATAACTATGGTCTAGAGTATCAGTATATAAGTATAGTATAGTATTATAGTCATAATAAATTTATTAATTTTATGTTAACCCTACTAATAGTTACTATGACTATGGTGACTATGACTATGAGTATGAATTATCATTTATGACAGGACTAGTACTAGTAGCTGTACTGTAGACAGTTTAGTCAGTGACTAAAGTGACTTGTATTTGTAAAAAAATAAGTCCACTTTCAGCTTTTTTATATTTGTAATCATGACATAAATTATGATTCATTACCTTGACTGCCTTGAGTTTGAGCATTGTAAAATAATATAAAGGATTGTAGTTGTGATTCTATAGTCTATATATAATATATATATATAATATATATATATATATATATAATTTTATATATATATAATATATATCTCGGGCCTAGACTATATATATATTCTGATTGAATTCAAGGCCAAAGCAGGAACATACATGACATTGATAGCCTAACAATGAACTTCAGTTACAGGCTACAGTGAAGTGTACAAGAAGTGTGTAGGCCTAATTGAAGAAATCGATCATATGTATAAAATATTTTACTTAGAAGACAACAAAGAATTATTAAGACACAGTCTTAAATATCATTATACATAATAAGGCATGCTTTTATATTTGTTTTACTTTAAAATTTTATTAGCTTTTTTAGGGTTAATTTGGCTAACATCTTAATCTTGTTTGTGGAAGGAGATGACATAATGTTTCAATAAAAATATCGATAATAAATATGACATTGACATGGTCAAGCTTGTGCTTTAGACTTAAGACTATGATGTATTATGTCTATTAAATTCATGCCGTGTTATCATAAAAAACAAAGTGAGTTTAGGTCAATTTTATATAGACTAGTATTTGTTGTAGGCCTACTTCACAAGAAGGAGAGTACAACATGCCTACTATACTATTTTGTTGAATGAAATTTTAATGTAATTGTCATAAATTTAATTTAAATAAGTCATTACCTAAAAAATAATAATATTTTAATTTTATGTTAAATAACTGTTTAACTTTAAGGGCATGGTTTGGTGAGGAAAATAGTTTTTGAGTGGAATTATTTACATTTTTATTTAGCCTTTTAATTTATTTTATTATTTATTTGGGCATATCCTGATTGAAGTTAATAATATTAATACAGTACTCAGTATGAGATTATCTTGCTTTTAAGATGAATTTATAAAACGGCTTAGATGAAACAAAAAGTTCCAAGTTGAAAATGATTGTGGAGTTGCTCCAGTGGTGTAGGAAGGTTGGGGTGCTGACGGGGCGGCACTTTTTTTTTTTAATATGGAAGGGTGACACTTTTGACAAACTGCAGAGCTTTATCATTTGAGGGGGAGGCAAAATTATTCGCCCACCCTGGTTGCACTAGCCCTAGCTACTCCGCTGAGCTGCCCATAAAAACTGTACATGGAAGAAATGAGGGATTTGCTGTAGGATGTTAACTATCAGGACAGTGATTTCAAACACAAGAAGAAGGGTAGCTTTTTATTTTAAAAGGAAAAGAGAAGATTATTATGTAAGAAAATGCTGCCTTTGATAAGTGTTCATGCACACTAAGGGTTTTAATGTAGGTAGGCATGTTAGGACTTTGGGTCAAAGGTTCATTGTTAAAATCAGTATGATAAAATTAGCAAAACATATTCAATTATTGGTAATTTTAAATTAATTGCCATTTTTAGAAGCTCTGGAATCTTGGTTTAATTACTATTTCTTAATGTGTCCCTGACTATGAACATCAGACTGTTAAAAAAAATATAGAAACAAGTCATTAAAATTTTGTTCTCTTCTCAAGGTAATTGGAAAAACACACATTTTTTTTAAAATGGAGACTGCAAGTGTTGAAAAGAATGATGATGCTCCACCTAAGTATGAACCACCCCAACCAGGATCACTGTATGCTGGAGCATATCCACCCTATCCTAATCCCCAACTCCAAGGTCAGCCTGGTGATTATTCACCCAAAGGTCAGACTGATGTTTATCTAAGACAAGGTCAGCCTGGAACTTACCCAATCCAATGTCAGCCTGGAGTTTATCCTCTCCAAAGTCAGGCAGGTTTTTATCCCTGTCAAGGTCAACCAGCTGCTTATCCACCTGGATTTTCTCAAACTAGTAAGGTTTTTCTTATGTTTTCAGACCAGAGAAACTATACATAAATTTGGTACTTGAATATATAGAGATAATTAAAGACTATGTTTTAAATGTGGTAAATTATAGATTTGTTTTTTGTTGACTTTGTACCGCGCTTCGAGCCTTTGGGGATGAAGCGTGTTTTTGAAATGAACTTTATTATTATTATTATTATGATAATAAAATCTTATAACAACCAAGTCTACAAAGACTTAAGGAATAAGGGGAAAGAATTATGACCTTAGAAATGGCTTTCCTGTTCCTTGATTTGAATCTAACAAAAATAAACACATCTGCATCACAAACCAGTCATAGTTCCATTTATCAAAACTTATGGCATGGTAATGTCACATGTTTAATTTCTTTGTGAAGCAAGCTATTTTTCCCCGTTCCATTTATTAATAATTTTTTATATTAAGTTTTTTGACATTTCTTAAAATGTATTAGTAAGTATTACATAAAATGTATGTTACTGTTTTAATTAAATTGTAAAATATAAATATAATTTATAGTACAAAAACATAAATTTTCAGAAAAATATTTCTTGCCTACTTTTCTTATCTTATATTGCATTAAATATAATTCAAATGCAGATAAGAAGAAAAAGTTAAGTGTTTCGTAATATTATTATTATTACTAAAATTATATCTTTTCTAAGCTGTCATTGTTCAGCCCCAGGTCATCGTCAGAGGTGAGGACTACCGCTTCATGCAGAACCCTGCTCGCATAGTGTGCCAGCACTGCCAGGAAGCAGTGACAACAAAGTTGACCTATGAAGCTGGACTTCTGACTTATTCTCTCTGTGGTTTAATAATATGTTTTGGGTGAGAATAATTTTTATCTCTAGTTCTTAAAGTTTAAGGACAGGTTTTTAATTTGCTAAATTAAATTTTTTTAACTAAAATTAACCTCACCTGATTTTTTTTTTTACAAATGTATTTTTCAGCCCCAGGTAGTACATTAGCTAAGCCTAATCTGTTTTTTTTTTAATTAAGATTTTATTTCTATACGATTATACTCAAGATATTTTTAAAAGTGTGATGGCAGGTTGTTTTTCTTTTTAATTTAAAAGTTTTCTGAACATGTTCAGACATTTGAAGTCATTAAAACACACACACAAATCGATAAATTAAAATTAAGTAGTTGAACTTACCTCGATGAAGTTGAATATTTGTGATTTTAAGGCAATTCATTTTGAGTGATTGCAAGACTTGTGATTGTAAGAATAGTGATTGTAAACTAGTGATTGTTAGATTTTTTTACGATAAGATGTATTATTTCAGACTGTGTTGTGGCTGCTGTCTCATTCCTTTCTTTATGGATGGAACCAAAGATGTGGAGCACAGGTGCTGCCATTGTGATAAGGTTGTTGGTAAATTTAGACCATGCACAATATAAACAACGTGTACAGAATAAGTTGGACAGGTTAGTTTTTTTTTGTGTTTGTTGCTTTTGGTATTATTTGAGGATATTTTGGTTATTAATGTGGCATTTGGTTGAAAGTTTCAAATAACTTTTTTAAACTCTTGCACACAAATCCACCTATTGATTAAAACAACTAATGATAAATGAGGTCACTAGAAAAATGCCATGAATAGAAAATCCCTTGACATTGACTGTAACTTAATGTTTGGGTTTTGAAGGTGAGAGAATTCAGTCCTGCCAACTTGCAATGGTAAGTTATGAATTTTTTATTCGACAAAGAATCAAGTTAGAGTGGGCATAAATAATTACAAACCTTAAAAATGAAGTTTTTTTATAAATCATTTATAATTATGTAATATTGCGCAATACAGGAGGGGGGAGCAGAAAACTTGCCAAAACTTTCATACAAGTAACACACTTCATAAGAATCCCAAGTTATGAACCTCCCCCCCACCAAGGCTTGCAACCAAACTTTTTTTTTTTCATACTTTTTCACCGCAAATTTATTTCATCAACCATTTCAGAGAAACACAATAAGAAATTACGCACAAAACGCTCCTGGGATATTGTTTTCGTAAGAATTTCATTTAGCATTGTTATGTGGAATTTTATTTCGTGAAATCAGTGTCATCATATTTCCGTCATCTTCCCCTTGAAAATCAGGAAAAACAGTTTTTTGGGGGTTGGGGTTGAAACTTGGTAGAATGGATTGTTATTGGCAACGAGTGTATATGCCAAGTTTCAGCTTGATAAGTTGACGGGAAGTGGGTCAATTAGACGTCCAAAGGTTTTGCCAGCCACGAACAAAAGCCAAGTTATTATACATATAAAGGATTTAAAAAAAGAGTCCCTTGGGCAATTCAAACTTGGTAGCAATATAAAGAGTTTGACATTGTCACCTGTCAGCAAAAACTCAATGTATTCTTATATTACTTATAACCTGTACTAAGATGCAACAGGAAACCAACTGCTGAATGTGAGTAAGTGGCTATGGGAAATGGTCAAATCTAAGTTCTTCATATTTTTTAATAGTAAAATATGGTTTTCCTGTCTAAAAGAAATTAGAACATTCTTTTGTGTCTTTAGATCTATGTTATAAACATGTAAGTCAGCTGTGCTTGAATGTGATGCATTTACTTTTAAGAAGCAAACCAAAAAAAAACACGTCATAACATTTTATTTTCTACTTATTTGATTGAATCATTTTATTTAATAGAAACACATTTTTTGGTACTGCATTTTTAAAGTTTATCCTTTTGTCTGTCATTTTGCAGTTTGTTGAATATCCCAGGTTTTGGTTGAGGATCTACAAATTGTGTAAGAAAAAAACTGAGACCAGTATTGGAAGATATGTTGGAGGGAAAAAAAGGAGATATTATTACTTGGATTTGTTGGTGTACAAGTGTTAGTGTGTTATACATACTGATTTCTCGTTAAGTAACATATTTTAACATTTACTGTGTAACATTTTCAGACTATGTGTAATTTGCTTTTGTGAGAAAGCTAAAATGAGTCTTTCACTGTATAGTTCATTTTTTGTTATTAGTCTAGTAGTTTTCAATATTTACATGAATATGTACTTATTACAAATCTTATAATTATTTAAAAACATCACTATGTTTTAATCAAACTTATCTTTGCTGTGATTTCTGATAGTATTATTCAATAATCGCTTACACAGATCTTTGCTTCCGTAAAATTAACTTGATTTTTGTTATATACTCTTTTATGAAATAGTGATATTTTTTCTTTGATGCCATTACACTTTCTTGGCTCAACTGGCCACTTAGTTTTAAGAACTTAATGTCTAAAGTGACATTTTTGCAACTCCACAAAGTTTAGAAGTTAACTTTTTTGAAGCTAAAACATATCAAAATTTGTTTGTTGTGCATACTGATTTATTCCTTACTTGTGTACCGGTGCCATTGTTATAGTAATAAAATATTTGATGTGAAAAGAATCATGTTTAAATGACTAATGTAAACAGACATATATTTTCAATTATTATTTTTTTTAAATTTAATATAATTTCCTTTTGAGTGTTTTTTTATTAGGCATACCCAAAAAATTAGTCCTGTCTACTGTACTTGAGGTGCATCAATTAACTAAATTTTATCTATAATGATTGAAAATAACAATTTTTTTTAAAATGATGAAATAAAACTAAAATTTTTTTTTAAAAAAGGAGAAAAAAATTTCAACCCCTTGGTATTTTTTTAATTTTAATGTTTAATTTTTGAGTTTCCTTTTCTAAAATTTATCATTGGAGAACATCAGTTAAATTAACTTTTACTGTCCAATGGTGTAGAGTGTATACTTTTTAATAATGTTTATAAAAAAATTTAATTCAGGTCTTAACGTTTTTTTTCTTCTAAGGTATAGGAACTTTATCTGTTATGCAAGGGTTTAATATTTTGACTTATATAGTCCTAAACATTGATGATGATGGGACCAGGGCACGCATGGCCGTTATTGGGACCCAGGTCCCTTTAGACTAAATGCTATTCGGATGTCATTTGTGGTAGTTTATTATATAAATATAGTTAAACTGAAGAAGTAAGTTTACAAACGTATAGTCCATTCAATTATCTTTCATTTGATACAAATTTTGTCTTACAAACCCAACAATAATATTTTTATTATTTTTTTTATAAACCCAAACTCTCACTTCTGATACCAGGTCCGAATAGCCGCAGCCTTTAAGTTTCTATTGATTTTAATGTGAATTAATTTTATGGTAATATAATTTTGTAGCAAAAATTAAAAATTTTCTTTTACTTTTGATGGGAAACAATTTTTTTTCTGTTCCCATGTTTTTTTATTGTCCCTTGTTTTGAAAAAAATTCTTGGAAAAATATTTTTACTGACACTGTATATATTTGTATTATTTGTCATGTTTCATGAAATAAAGGTTTATTCTGAAATTAATATTTTATACTTTTTTCAACAGTGTGTTTTGATTGTCTCTTAAAAATTAGGCTGGAAATAGACAAAGCTCTAAAAGCTCTGTGATCACCTTACCATCTCTCTCTTACTTATTCCTCTTTTAACGAACCCTACCCATTATCACCCATGCTCTTATCCCCTTAGCATGTAGTTTCTGTTCCCTAGCCATAGGGTAGTGGTCTTATTAATGGCACACACCCAGTGGTAACCGCACACAAAGCTTCCATTCTTTCATGGCTAGTGGTCCTCACAATAATAAAGAAAAATAAAGTCCTTACTAGATATAGGCCTACAATTCTAAATGAGGATGATATGATTATGGGTCCATCCTTACTAAATACAATACAATACTGTGGGACGTCGAGTTGTTGACGTGGGAGATTTTGTTTACTGTTGCTGATGATTATGGAGTGGGGGGGGGGGGTCAGGATGAATGTATCCACATTTAATAAATTATTCTAATAAACCCATCTGTCACATAAAAATCTCTGAAATCCATGCATTTTAAGAAATTTTAATTTGTCTACTTAGATGCTTAAACTTATCTATCAAAGACAGTCTTTTTATTTTTAAAAGTTTTTTATATCTTAAATAGTCATAATTTATTTCACACTTCCGCTTATTTCATTAGCCAAATATGTAGTAAAAAATAAAAATTAATGTTCATTATGGAGCCAATTAGGCCAATACATTAGCGCAAAAATAAAGTTGAATTATATTATGTCTATTTCACGCTCTTCAAATGCTCCCAAACCACCCCCAACCAACCTAATTGAAAATAAATCAGCGGTTGTAAGGAGTATACATTTTTTGTCTCTTGCTGTCAGAAATGTTCAAAATCAACTATTTTTTTTTTTAGTGTGTGCCTTCTTATAGCTTTTAATGTATATTCCATAGAAGCTGCTAATCATGAGATGAAAGTTGATTTTTTTCCCACAATCACATCATATCAATATATAATTATTATAGAAGAAACCTTGGCCTTGAGGGAGATACCATTTTTAATGATAATAATACATCATATAAATAGTTTTATTAATTAAAAACGCACACTTATGGTCAATTTATTCGAACAAATTCACTGGGATAAAATTAAACGGCTTTGACAGAATTAGAAAGGCATTTAAGCAAGAGTTGGTCTGTTATTTTATTCATATTGTCCCCGCCACACGTCGCCATTGGAATGATGGGAATGCTAGAAACAAGATGGCGCATGTAAACTACACTTGATTCAAAAGACATGCATGCTGGACTATTTTGGTCGTCATCTAAGTGATGATTCGGATTGAAAGGGTGATGCGAAACAACTTTTGTTCCAGAACACTCTTTATCTATTATTATTTTATGAAATGCAATAATATTTTGCAGTTAACTTAACGCTTAAAATACATCAACACAAGAACTAAATATGATCAGGCTGAATAAATGAAAGTAAAATAACAACTGTAACAACTCCATCTAAATCTAAAATGAAACTTAAGATATTTTTTTAAATTTTGCGTACATAACTTCAACATAAATAGCTATGATTCATAGACCTACATATTTTAAGCACATCAATGAAGCGATCTGCCCTGATTCAACACATTCGCCATTCTTGCACTTGATAATGATAATAATTTCTGGCCATAGTTACTAGTTACTAGTATAATCTAGTTAGTTATTCAGAGGTACTTAGGTAAAGCAAGGGAGACTACTAAAAAATTTGTATGGGAAATGGACGTCGGTGCAGGAGAATCCGAGTTTTTAATTTTTGGACATCAGTGCTTTTGTGTTGCTGAAAGTGAAAGGACTATATTATTGACTATACTATAATATTTTGTCATAAAATTGTGGTATTCTTTGAAGATTCTTTCACATGTTCACAATATGGTTCATCTAGACCTACATTCCAATGTACTGTATTGCATTTTTTGATCTACCTTAATTTTCAAAATTCATAGGTAAACATTAGGCATATTTCCCTCAAACGTTTTTAAAGAAATAAAAGGATCATGTCTTTCATATTAAATTCTGATGAGAATTTATAATATTTTTATATTGATGTAGGTATATATGTGCCAATTCTCATTAATGTAGGTTGTGTTCGACGTTCGTTATGCTTGTCCCACTAACCTTCATTATCATAAGGTCGCTCAGCACAATTTTGACCAATCCCCCTTTTTAATGGCGGAAGATGCTTAGGAAATATTCAATAACAACCACTATTTACATCCAAATATTTGATAACTTGTGAATTAGAATGAACTTAAAATACTTAGAAGTAATTTAAACAAGAATATTTTAATTTGAGGTTTTAAAAACCTGGTAGAGTTCATATAATAAATGATTGTAATTTGCTGTGTGCAAAATATTGTAGTGGGCAACCATTTACAGCCACTTTCATCATTTCTACACCGTAGTACTATCTCAGAGTTTCATTCATAAGAGTTTTCAGTGTGCAAAAACTATTAAACCATAGGTCAGGGAAAGCTTTAATTAATTAGTCATGTGCCAAAGTTGAAAGCTCAAAATAAATAGTCCCTAAAAAATATTTTAGTAATAAGGCTAAGGGGATGAGTTGCCTTATATAGACTATATTTTTATACCGGTATAAAGGACGCCGTAGACTTCGTAAAAAGAAAAGCCATTTATTAATATGTTATATCAAATTTACTAATATGCATTGTGCATAGTTAGATAAGTTACAATTTATTTATTTATAAGTGCATAACATTATTAAAATTACTTTTTAATTAATTTAATACATCATTAATTCTGAAAATAAAAGTTATATAAAATTATCTTTAAAACAAGAGTTATTGCGCACGACGCATTCAGCATAATAGGGTCACAAAATGTGGAGGTGTAGTCTATAGTAAAAAATACCAAACGAACTTGCACTTTAAAATGTATAGCTCAACAAGTGCTAAAGGTAGAAAGTTGATTCTGGTTTCATATTTGAAATTTGCTCTATATAACTAATATTTTATAATTTTAATTTTTTTTTACCCAAGTACCTCCTAAACTGTACTTAAAAAGTTATAAAAATAAAAGTCAGTTTCTTAAAATTTTTTAAAGTCTTTTTAAAATCATTAACCCGTTCATTACTGGTGGTTTTGGCATCGATTTTTGCTGACTCAGCAATTTAAAAAACCCTTAATGATGAAACTTTCGGTATTTGTTCATTCTCTATCCAATTTGCTTATTAGCTTCTCTATAAATTAACGAATAAAAAAATATATAGCATTGAAATATGACGTCAACGTGACGTCCTTGGTATTTCAGAAAAGTTCTTTGCCTATTTGTTATGATGATAATGTGATGTCCTTGGTACTTTAAAGTGGGTGATCGTGACGTTGCGTTGATGTCAGCGGTAATGAACTGGTTAAAATTAACATGACAATATAGCTTTAACTTAAAGGTTTTCATAATACTCACCAGTGATAGTGATAGTGCTAAATATTTGACACTCAGGGCAGGCGCTAGACATTTTTAGGTTGGGTGAAAATAGGCAATTGTCGCCCAGTGGAAAATTATGGGAAGAGTTCAGAAAAAAATGTGTGTTTTGATTTTAACAAATTTTGCCTTGGCGCCTGTGTGATGATCATCAATCGTACCCGCCTTGAGCCGCCCGTAATATTGGAACCCAAATTATTAGGCTACTGGTACTACCTTACCCTACATTTCTCATTTCGATATTTATTTCATTTCTTAAAATCGTGGGGAGGGGGGCGCACAGAAATAATGGAAAGGGCATGGGGTCATATATAATATGACATCATATAAGTTTCACACAGTAATTTTTACACTAAAATAATAGCCCATTTGTCATTGTCAGATCAACATGAGTATAAATTTTAATAGTTATATCTACAAATTGTTTTGCAGAACATTCAACATAAATTCTAGTATTAAAAGTAAAAAGGAAGAGGGATTGGTGTTTTACAATTGTCTTTTTGCTTGTAGGGAAAAGTGTGATGCTATTATGATCTTGTTTAAGAAAGGCTTGTTAATTTAGAGGAAATTACAATAATACATTACGCCTGGCATACTTAGTAAGTGGCGTAAGACAATATAAATATGAAATTAGATGATGACCCTCTAGGTCTAGTGTTCAAATCCAATTAACCCTTAATGTCAAAACCATTTCTTCCCACACTTGTGGCACAAGCAGTATTAATATGGGTGCTGATAAAAGCAAAAAATGACATGTGCCATATTGGAATTAAACATGGTAAAAAAGCTTAAAAGAATTGTTTTTTATCTACTGGTTGGGACTCCAGTGTGATAATGTGCACCAGTTGCTATATACGACTGGATGAGTTTTAAAAATAATTTTTAAATTGAAGTTTAAAGTATAAAGTTCCATTTTCCTAAAAAATTAGGACATTAATGTTCCAACATTTACATATGACATAAAGATATCTATGCATGTGTCGGCTGTTTCACATAGAGGTGGGTGTAGTATATGGAATATGTTGAAGATTTTATTTTAATTCCTCCCCCCCAGTTGGTAGTACATTGGGCAAGAATGGATTTAGATATATTAAAAAGTAATGTATAATTTTAAAAGACCATTTGAAATGCCTTAGTTCAAATCTTGTGGGTACCTTATTACTTCCTTTATTCTAGTGTATTAGGGAGGGTGGGGGATGGGGTTGTTGTTTTAGGTTATATTCTGTTGATGAAGACATAGTTTGTGCCTTGCCTTATGAAGAAACAAAAAGCATATTTTTTTATTATTGAAAAAGAACTAGAACTCCACAACACAAATTTCATTCTTTCCAGACGCTTTCATTTGCTTATGAATTTGCTTGTGAATTATTAAATGAACCCATTTTAATACAATATTTGTTTATTTTACACACCACATGAAGATTCAGTAACTAATTTTTATGTAGTTAGCCCTATTTTTTTGCTAACTTTAGTTTTACTTTCTACATTTTTGCCATACAGTCCAAGCACTGAAGCAGGGCAGTGCTGTCTCATTGATGGGGAAACAGCAACAAGACCAACAGCAGTAGTTCAGTGAGAGCAAGGCACTGCCCAGCAGTCATCAGTCAGTTTTACCATGGCACAAATCAAAACATACGCACGCTTAAAACCGTCCAAAAAAGCCTACCCTGGATATGAGATAGGCAAAAATGTGCTGACTGTGCATATTCCAGACAACAAGGATTTTCTGATTCAAGGCCCCCAGCAGGCCATCCGCAGCAACCTCAGCTATGACATAGTCTTTACCGATATCTTTAGACCTGAAGCTACGCAAGAAGCAGTTTTTGATGGCGTTGCAAAAGACATAATTCAAAGTGAGTGTATAATCTGATTAAATCTCTGGAACCTAATCATGTCTCATGTCGACCCAGGCTTTTTGACCCACCTGCCTTAACGTCTTATTAATATTTATATACGCAAATTTAGATTCAGAATCATGTTTCTCCACCCCTTTTACAATTCTAGAAAATTTAAAAACATCAAACTTGTCACGTGAGAATACTACTACAATAATTTGAAAAACCTTATAATCTTTTCTATGGCAAAGTATTTTTTTGTTATTTTATTGACAGACTTTCTAAATGGCTACAATGGGACAATTTTTGCTTACGGTCAAACTGGAACTGGAAAAACATATACAGTTGAGGGTAATACCAGTCGTTACAGTACCAGGGGATTAGCTACAAGGTAAGAGCAAAGCCTGGCACACTTAGTTTTCATGTGAAAATTAACTGAATCTATTAGGAATGTTTTAATTATATTTTTCACTACACAATCTTCTATTTTTTTCCTTTTATTATTTAAAATATCAATGTTTAAATGAATCAATATTTTAGTTTTTGACTTGCCATGTAAATCCAAAATCTAAAATTTAAAAAATATCAATATTTCAATGCATCAATACTTTAGTGTTTTGACTTCCTTTGTAACTCCATTAATCTTTTAGTTTCAATGAAATTTGCCTAAGTAGGAAAGAAAAGCATTTGCCTTTTTTGTTTGGTTCAGTCAACTTCAATGGTAAAGAACTGGTGGCTTTTCCAGTCATAAGAAAACTACCCTTAAAGTCGCAGCTGTTAGATTTTTTCCTGGGACCAAAATCCTCCTGTTGCCAAGGGTTTAAGCAGATTTTTTTTAAATTTATTTTTTCAGAGCCTTGAGCATGATATATCAACAGCTTGAGAACAGGACAGATGAGCACATATCGGTGTACCTCTCCTACTTAGAGATCTACCAGGAAGTTGCATATGACTTGCTCAACCCTGCCGCAAGGTCTTCTTTGCCGGTAGCTCCATTTGCAAAAGTTAGTACCACTTTTAATTTAAAAATTTGAATAGGCCTGCACTGGTAACCTAGTTTTTGTATCGTACAGGCCGACCAAACTGATCAATAAATTTTGTCAATTATGGTAAGTTAGTAAAGTTATTTTTGTATTCTCTCATTTTTGTTATCTTTTGAGAAACTTAGTAAGAAAGCCTTATAATGGCTGCCATAAATATTTATACAACTCATTATTATTTTATTTAACCACCTTCATTTATCCAAAAAAGTATTCAATAATTTTAAAATTTTGATTTCTACAGGTGACTGTAGTGGAAGGACCACGAGGCTCTTGCATTTTGAGGGGCCTCTCTCTTCATCTTGCAGCCAATGAAGAAATTGCACAAATGCTTTTACTGCAAGGTCAGGCTAATCGGAAGGTGGCCGAAACGCCGGTTAACCAGCGATCGTCGCGATCGCATGCTGTTTTTACTGTGTACTTACAAGTGAGAAAGCATGACTCGGAAGTTCTTGTTAAGTAAGCAGATTATGTGCATTTCAATCTTTTGTTTCAATTTTTTTTTTTAAAGTTTGAAAAGTATAACAAAATATAATATCGGACCAAGACTGTAGTTTAATTAGTCTATCACATTCTTTAAAAGGTATTGGTTTCCTTGTTGATGGTAGTGGCTGCTAAATTGAGTTCTTGTTTCATCAGCATTTGAGTAAGTTAATAGCTAGGGAGATTTTCTTTGGGTGACCATTAAAAAAAAAAAGGTGATTGTGCTATACCCAGCATGTGTAACCTTTCATGACTAAGGAAAGTATGATAATTATTTCCCATTTCTGATCAGTTCAAAACTTCATCTGGTTGACCTGGCTGGTTCGGAACGTGTGTCAAAAACTGGGGTCGACGGGCAGCAACTGACCGAGGCCAAGTCTATTAATTTGTCCCTTCATCATCTAGAAACAGTCATCATTGCGCTACAGTCTGATCGTACCAACACCCCAAGCAGTAGCTCAACAGGGGAGAGAAGTAAAGGGGACAACCCACCAACAGTTAGTAGAAGGTGAGCCAGTTTTCATGGTTGTTTGCTTGTGTTTTATCCAGAACAATTATTTTAAAATAAACATCAGATTTCTATATATAAGTTGTTTGTTTCTTGATAAAGAATGTAGAACAACTTGGTTATTTAAGATTTCATGTAACGACCTTATTTTTTTTTTTTTACTTTGTGCTCCCCAGTAATACATCGTTCACTTCAGGGCCATCTAGTGATGGCAGTAGGCCTTTCAAGTTTGTGCCTTATAGAAATTCTTTGTTGACTATGGTCCTGAAGGATTCTCTAGGTGAGCCATTTCTTAGCTTTTTAATATACATTTGTACTCAAGGCTTTCCACAGTATTCTGTAATGGGCCGCCACTTTGAAATCTGTCGGCTCAGATCGTGTCTGTACAAACTGTGGTTCGCGGGCTGGATGCGACCCATCACTTTTTCAACCAGACCTGATTTAATGCGGCATGGGCCTAGAAATTAAATCTTTATTGTCTTTTTAAATTCTTTTTTAATCCACATGAAATGAGATAATATTGACATTTGAGGATTTGCAAGCAATCCTCTTAATAGTAACAGTTTATTTCTTTCCATTGATAGAATTGTATGTGTAAATTTCTTTTTAAACTAACCCAGAGACCTAAAAGTGATAAGGTGGTCAAGTTTAAGTTTACAACCTTTCCCTTGTCTGGGCTCTGCCTAATGGCCTTGAAGGGTGCCCAGTCCCTTGACTTAAAACATTTGCACATTCCCAGCTTAAATCATTGAGATGGCTAATAAAATATTTCATCCAGCATATTCATTATTGTCACATATTAGTTTTGAGGGAAGGGATTAAAATAGGTCATTTTAAAAGGCTTTGTATTTTCACAATGTTGCATTGTTTTATAGTAAGAGTTTGTCCTTGTGTCACCAGGAGGTAATTGCCTGACAGCCATGATAGCTACTATATCTCTAGAGCCAGAAAACCTAGGAGAATCCATCTCCACATGTCGCTTTGCACAGCGGGTTGCACGTATTGCAAACAATGCCAGGTGGGTTTGTGTTCTTAAAATATGTGTGTCTTGTTTCATGCAGAGGCAAGCAATGTGATGTTTTACTTTATTTCTGTTAGTATTTCTTTGTTCGACTAACTTTTCATTTAAATGTATGGAAGGGATCCCCCATTCATTGTTGGGTTCATTTACCATTTAAATGTACTGATTGGGATCCCCCATTTATTATTTGGGCTAATTTACCATTTAAATGTACTGATTGGGATCCCCCATTTATTATTTGGGCTAATTTACCATTTAAATGTACTGAATGGGATCCCCCATTTATTATTTGGGCTAATTTACCATTTAAATGTACTGATTGGGATCCCCCATTTATTATTTGGGCTAAATTACCATTTAAATGTACTGAATGGGATCCCGGATTTATTATTTGGGCTAATTTACCATTTAAATGTACTGAATGGGATCCCAAATTAATTATTTGGGCTAGTTTACCATTTAAATGTACTGAATGGGATCCCCCATTTATTATTTGGGCTAGTTTACCATTTAAATGTACTGAATGAGATCCCCATTTATTGTTGAAATAAAATTCTCACAAAAAAACTTCAGTTTATAATACTTTTTTCTTGATATGTTTAACATTTAAATAAACTTCTTCTTAGGACTGAACTTTTAGCTAGCCAATGATGCATTTTATCATTGACGATACAATTCTTTGTGTGCTGTCATGTCTTAAAATGTTTGCTCAACTTCCGGGATCTGAACAAGATTTTTTTAGTATTTCAAGGTTTTTACTTTTAAATTATCAGAAATGGAAAATAATTACCAAACTTTCCTCAGAGATGAAAGGTTAGACCCTATACAAACTGGGTACAGCAGAATACTTTTGTTGTGACAAGACTACAACTTTTTCTACCCTTCCCTTTAAGAATATATTTTATTTATAATAAGAGAGGAAAAATTTCAGCTTTCATCATTGCATAATATTGAAGAACTAGGATGCATCTATGTATGAATTCATGTTGAAAATATTATTATCTGACATTGACATAAAAATAGTCATTTTGTAGATACTCATTAGCAGGCTTATTTGGTTTCCATGCCAACCGTATGTTTTTATGTTTGCAGGAGAAATGAAGAGGTTGATGATAAAACACTTATCAAGAGACTCAAACACAAAGTGGCTTACTTAGAGAACCAGGTGGCTCTTCTGCGCTCAAAGGTTTGTTTCAAGATTTTAGGATCAGTTTTCAAAGGGTTTTTATGTGTTTTTTTTTTATCAAGCTAAAAAATGTGGAGTGAGAGCTCACTCTGTAAGCCATCTAATTGGTAGTGGGAAATGACCATTCAATGTTAAGGGAAGTGACCTTTCAATAATGTTAAGGGAAATGACCATTCAATGTTTAAAGGAAATGACCATTCAATATTTATGTGAAATGACCATTCAATGTTAAGGGAAATGACCATTCAATGTTTAAGTGAAATGACCATACAATGTTTATGGGAAATGACCATTCAATGTTTATGTGAAATGACCATTCAATGTTTATGTGAAAGGACCATTCAATGTTTATGGGAAATGACCATTCAATGTTTATTGGAAATGACCATTCAATGGTTGTGGGAAATGACCATTCAATGTTTATGTGTAATGACCATTCAATGTTTATGTGAAATGACCATTCAATGTTTATGGGAAATGACCATTCAATGTTTATGTGAAATGACCATTCAATGTTTATGGGAAATGACCATTCAATGTTTATGTGAAATGACCATTCAATGTTTATGTGAAATGACCATTCAATGTTTATGTGAAATTACCTTTCAATGTTTATGTGAAATGACCATTCAATGTTTATGTGAAATGACCATTCAATGTTCATGTGAAATGACCATTCAATGTTTATGAGAAATGACCATTCAATGTTTATGTGAAATGACCATTCAATGTTTATGGGAAATGACCATTCAATGTTTATGTGAAAGGACCATTCAATGTTTATGGGACATGACCATTCAATGTTTATTGGAAATGACCATTCAATGGTTGTGGGAAATGACCATTCAATGTTTATGTGAAATGACCATTCAATGTTTATGTGAAATGACCATTCAATGTTTATGGGAAATGACCATTCAATGTTTATGTGAAATGACCATTCAATGTTTATGTGAAATGACCATTCAATGTTTATGGGAAATGACCATTCAATGTTTATGTGAAATGACCATTCAATGTTTATGTGAAATGACCATTCAATGTTTATGGGAAATGACCATTCAATGTTTATGGGAAATGACCATTCAATGTTTATGTGAAATGACCATTCAATGTTTATGGGAAATGACCATTCAATGTTTATGTGAAATGACCATTCAATGTTTATGGGAAATGACCATTCAATGTTTATGTGAAATGACCATTCAATGTTTATGTGAAATGACCATTCAATGTTTATGTGAAATGACCATTCAATGTTTATGGGAAATGACCATTCAATGTTTATGTGAAATGACCATTCAATGTTTATGGGAAATGACCATTCAATGTTTACGTGAAATGACCATTCAATGTTTATGGGAAATGACCATTCAATGTTTATGTGAAATGACCATTCAATGTTTATTGGAAATGACCATTCAATGTTTATGTGAAATGACCATTCAATGTTTATGTGAAATGACCATTCAATGTTTATGGGAAATGACCATTCAATGTTTATGTGAAATGACCATTCAATGTTTATGTGAAATGACCATTCAATGTTTATGGGAAATGACCATTCAATGTTTATGTGAAATGACCATTCAATGTTTATGGGAAATGACCATTCAATGTTTATGTGAAATGACCATTAAATGGTTAATGTGGGGAAAAAACCTTTAATAGATGTCAAAGCATGTAATGTTTATATGATGCAGAAATTTTAAATCAAATGTCCTTATTGAGTGACTAATAAACTTGATTTAAAAAAAAAAAAAATGTTAAATGCTAAGGGGTTTTTTATAAATTACATCTGCACAAAGACACATTCCCCCCTTCCCTTTTTTCAGCATGTGGGTTTACTCCACCTGCGGGATTCTTCAGGTGCATACGACCATTGATGGCACTTAATTCCAGAAATTATAATAAGGATTATAAAGAGCAAAGAGTCACTAGATTTAACCTTCTAAATCAGTATGATATGGTCCATCTGTTGATTTGTTGATTGCTTAGCACTGCAGGGCTGTTGATTTTGGAAATTATGCATTGGGGGATGGGGGGGTTTCCCTCTGCAATAAGTAAATAATTTTAATATCCTCAAATTCAGATTTTTTTAATATAGCCAACTGTCACCTAACTGTGAAATCCATGATGATATATAATACTTTTTTAAAGTCTTAAAAGAAATTGTTAAAATGTTTTATATTTATTGTCAAACTGTTGCTTTGTGTTAACACTCACCAGATGTCGCAACAGCAGTACTTATTCATACAAGGTTCTGTGAATTAATTTGTGATGTAATTATTTTGTTTGGCTGGCTGAACCAAACAGCTGCACTGGTAAAAAAAAAAAATTGAGAGGGTGTTATTGACCTACAGCACAAATTTGAACATGCTTCCCCAGATTTTTTTACACCATGCCTCATAAAAACAAACACCTAAAATGTTTTAATTCTTCCCCCCCCCCGTGGAAGATTAACAAGGTGGTCTGTATGCTGCCTTAAACTAGACTGAACAAAAGTAATTGATATATATTTGTATTGCAGTGTATGAAAAACATAAAAGTTGTTAACTGTTAATAAAAATAATGTTTTAACATTGCACCCCCCCATTTTGAAACAAATCATTTCTGATATCCAAGAGCTTTGGCTTTGTCCCCTTTATGGACCACCCATAAGCAAATATTCTCTTCAGTTCCCCTTTATGGACCACCCATAAGCAAATATTCTCTTCAGTTCCCCTTTGGACCACCCATTAGCAAATATTCTATTCAGTTCCCCTTTGGACCACCCATAAGCAAATATTCTCTTCAGTTCCCCTTTGGACCACCCATAAGCAAATATTCTCTTCAGTTCCCCTTTGTGGACCACCTATAAGCAAATATTCTCTTCAGTTCCCTTCTTTATGAATTTCCAGGGAAGGAACGAGCCAATCACTGATGAGGATATATTGGATGTTCTAACGGAGGAAGATCGTATTGTCTGTGCTAAGATTATGGAGGGATTCTTGCAAGGGGTCATCACAGACCCTGTAGATGCTGGTGAGTTGAGGGTTAATGGTACATTGATTGTGTCCTGTTGAATGCTCTACCTTATAGAAATTATCAAAATGTTTCTGAAGACACTTTTTGTTTACAATGTAAGGTTTATCTATTTCTTTTTTTTAAAATACAATTAAGCTCCTCAGGTGGAATTTATTGCGCTTTTATCCAAACAGGTTATGTCCAGGAAATTTTAAACTTCCACAGAGCTTAACTCTATGAATTTATAACAGTTGTATTCACACATTCCTTTATTTCTAATTAACTTACCCAAAATGTTACTTCCATAATACAAACCTCCACCCATTGCTTCCGTTCACAATCTTGTCCATGTTTTGTCCCACCACTTTTGGCCAGGCATTTGTGACCAGTGTCGGTTTCGTGAGTGCCTACACCTTCTGAAGCACCAATGTCTCCAGATCGGCACTGCTGTGAGGCCACCCAAGGCTATACCACCACAAACTCAGCAGGGCAATGAGACCACTTTGGACCAGACTGAGCCTGTCCAACCAAACAACCCACACAGAGATGGAGGGGACCATGTCATGAACACAACATCACAAGGCACATCACCAACTGCCCCAAATCTTAGTCAATGGTAAGATTTGCTATTCTGTCAATTGGTGAGAATGGGTATATTTTCTTTTTAATATCATTTTTAAAACAAATGTATTCCAGTTTGGCACGCCCCCTTATTTAACATGTTATAAAAAATTAAATGAAACACGGGCGTCCAATCAGCAGATATTATTTTTTTTATTAACATCATGTGCCAGACGTTCCTTCCCCATGATTCTGTTTTTTAGTTTTTGGTGAATGTCTTGATCCCATTCCATTTCTATGCATCTGGATGATTTATTTGTACAGAGATGTTAAAATGTTGCAAACAAATAACATAACTGTTTATCATAAAGTTTTGTTTATTATTTCAGTCCACCCTCAAAAAATGCTTACTCTGCCGAATCAGTGACCCACTCCTCTTCTGAGATCACGATGCAGTCGCCAGAGGACTACTGTGATGGAGGTGGAGAAATAATCCAAGCTGAAGGAGGTGTTCCAAGAGGTACCATTTTTTAAAACGCATTAACCACATACAACAGTTATAAATTAATGGTCCTGTTAATTTTTCATATTTTACTTAACAAAGGAAATGAGTGAAACAAGGTATGGGAGAACCTGAAACAAAGGGACGCAACAAAACAACAAATATGTCTTAAAGAAATCCTTATCAGCGAACAAAAAACAGTGAAAATAGAATTAAATAAAAAAAATGTGTTCGTCCGTCAAAATCGACTAGGACCATTGAGTCATTCGGATAGGGGGGAGGGTGGGTTACGATGAGCTTGTAGGTGGCTTGCTAGACCGATCCCTGCTTGGAATAATCTCTGGCACCGCGGGCAAGGGATAGTTGCTGCAGTCGCTGATCTAATGTTGCTCTTTCGGGCCAGCCTGCATGTCTGAGCTGTGGTTATCCTACTGGCTCCATGAGATTTAGCCCCTTTCTTGACAGCTGCTCTCCACCTGGCTCTGTCCTGGGCTGTCTGCACCCATTGAGTACGGTCGATGCTGAAGGCCTTTAGTGCAGCTTTCAGGGAGTCTTTGTAACACTTTTTTTTAACTCCTTGGGAACGCTTGCCTATCGTGAGTTCTCCGAAGAATATCTGTTTTGGTAGCAGGTCATCTTCCATATGGGCTAAGTGTCCCATCCAACGGAGTTGAGACTGCATCAGGGTGGTAAATATACTTGGTAGGTTCACTCTAGCGAGGACATCTGTATCAGGAACTTTCTCTTGCCACCTGATGCCGAGGAGTTTCCTGAGGCAGGTTGTGTGAAATCGGTTAAGTTTCTTGGCGTGACGCTGGTAGACTTTCCACTTTCAGCTGGCTGATACATCACCTCAGTCTTCTTTGTGTTGACTGTGAGGCCAAAGTGATTGCACGCCTCAGAGAAGATATAAACGCTGAATTGCATGATGGCTTCTGAGGCAGCGTTGATGGCACAATCGTCCGCAAACAGAAGCTCGTTGATGGTGTTCTGTTTGAACTTGGTTTTTGCTTGAAGCCTCCTAAGGTTGAAGACTGATCCATCAGTGCGAAACCGGATTAGCAAGCCTGTGGTGGAGTTTTTGAATGCATCAGACAGCATTGCAGAGTGTGGGAGCCAGGACACAGCCCTGCTTCACACCGTTTGTGACGGGGAATGCTTAAGATGACTGACCGTTGTCCTGCACTTGGACCATAAGGAAGCTGACGGATGATGTTGGTGAACTTGTCTGGGCATCCGTACTTCTTCATGATTTTCCACAGGCCACCTCTATTGACCCCGTCAAAAGTCTCATTCAAGTCGATAAATGGGGTACATAAGTTTGTATTTTTCTCCTGACATTTCTCTTGAAGCTGCCTAGGAGCAAACACCATATCGATAGTTTTGTGTTTTTTGTGGAAACTGCATTGACTTTTGGGTAGGAGACATAGCTCCAGATGTGCATTCAGGCGGTTTAGAAAGGCTCGGCCAAGATCTTGCCTGCGGTGGACAGCAGTGAAATTCTGCAGTGATTTTTGCAGGCCTGTTGGTTTCCTTTGTGTTTGTACAGGTGGATAATCGAGGCATCCTTGAGATCTTGTGGTACTGTTTCTGTCTGCCAGATGATATGGAATAGACGCAATAGCTTATCCGTCAGCGCTGGTCCATCCTCTTTGTAGATTTTGGCAGGAATAACACTTAGCTGTAATGTAGTATCCTCTTGTTGTCTCTTCGCCCCCCCCCCCCCTTTCCCTCCCCTTTACCTTTTTTTCTTAAATGAAGCCATGTCAGTCCAAAATGCTTGAGTAAATGTTTAAATTATTTTTTTTTTTTGCAAGTTACTGGTATATTTTTTCAAAAGTGTTCCTGACTTAGGAATAGCCAAATCCACGATTTCACCAAGTAACCGCTACCAATAAAGTGCATTTAAGTGTTAGTCTAAAGGTTTTTCATTACCAGGATGTTAAAAAAAATCAAGGGAAAAAAATACATCAAGGAATATGATATTGATAAAGAGAGATGTCTTTATTGCAAGCTGAAGAAATTTGAATTTGGTAGTTTTTGTTGTATCACTCACATTCCATTCATGACAAAACCAAATTCACCCATAGTAAAAAAGTCTAGTCCTTTGGACCATTTGTTGGATTCATTGAGACGAGGAGAGAAGACATTTGATAAAAAAGATGCAAAGACCAGGAAACAGGGCAAAATGGATGAAGAGGAATTCATCAAACAGGAACAGCTGGAGAAACTGAAGCATGAAAACTTGATTGAGGAGCTGACAGCAGCCGAGCACAATCTGAGGTGAGTCATCAGCCTATTTAGCTCTTGTGGCTGCTTTTTCTTTCCTCTGCCACACTAGCTCTTGGGGTATCTTTTTCTTTCCTCTGCCACACTAGCTCTTGTGGTATCTTTTTCTTTCCTCTGCCACGCTAGCTCATGGGGTATCTTTTTCTTTCCTCTGCTACACTAGCTCTTGTGGTATCTTTTTCTTTCCTCTGCAACTTTAGCTCTTGTGGTATCTTTTTCTTTCCTCTGCCATGATAGCTCTTGTGGTATCTTTTTCTTTCCTCTGCCATGATAGCTCTTGTGGTATCTTTTTCTTTCCTCTGCCATGCTAGCTCTTGTGGTATCTTTTTCTTTCCTCTGGCATGCTATCTCTTGTGGTATCTTTTTCTTTCCTCTGCCATGCTAGCTCTTGTGGTATCTTTTTCTTTCCTCTGCCACGCTAGCTCTTGTGGTATCTTTTTCTTTCCTCTGCCATGCTAGCACTTGTGGTATCTTTTTCTTTCCTCTGGCATGCTATCTCTTGTGGTATCTTTTTCTTTCCTCTGCCACGCTAGCACTTGTGGTATCTTTTTCTTTCCTCTGCTACGCTAGCTCTTGTGGTATCTTTTTCTTTCCTCTGCCATGCTAGCTCTTGTGGTATCTTTTTCTTTCCTCTGCCACGCTAGCTCTTGCGGTATCTTTTTCTTTCCTCTGCCATGCTAGCTCTTGTGGTATCTTTTTCTTTCCTCTGGCATGCTATCTCTTGTGGTATCTTTTTCTTTCCTCTGCCACGCTAGCTCTTGCCCATAGAAAAAGAAAGCTCTGCCATGCTAGCTCTTGTGGTATCTTTTTCTTTCCTCTGGCATGCTATCTCTTGTGGTATCTTTTTCTTTCCTCTGCCACGCTAGCTCTTGCGGTATCTTTTTCTTTCCTCTGCCACGCTAGCTCTTGCGGTATCTTTTTCTTTCCTCTGCCACGCTAGCTCTTGTGGTATCTTTTTCTTTCCTCTGCCACGCTAGCTCTTGTGGTATCTTTTTCTTTCCTCTGGCATGCTAGCACTTGTGGTATCTTTTTCTTTCCTCTGCCACACTAGCTCTTGTGGTATCTTTTTCTTTCCTCTGCCACGCTAGCTCTTGCGGTATCTTTTTCTTTCCTCTGCCACGCTAGCTCTTGCGGTATCTTTTTCTTTCCTCTGCCACGCTAGCTCTTGTGGTATCTTTTTCTTTCCTCTGCCACGCTAGCTCTTGTGGTATCTTTTTCTTTCCTCTGGCATGCTAGCACTTGTGGTATCTTTTTCTTTCCTCTGCCACACTAGCTCTTGTGGTATCTTTTTCTTTCCTCTGCCACGCTAGCTCTTGCGGTATCTTTTTCTTTCCTCTGCCACGCTAGCTCTTGCGGTATCTTTTTCTTTCCTCTGCCACGCTAGCTCTTGTGGTATCTTTTTCTTTCCTCTGCCACGCTAGCTCTTGTGGTATCTTTTTCTTTCCTCTGCCACGCTAGCTCTTGTGGTATCTTTTTCTTTCCTCTGCCAAGTTTTGTTTTTTAAAATATTATTAGGCTCTGGCAGTTTATTGTTAATTGGCAAATATGTTTATTTTTATGTTTAAATTAATTGAGATCTTTCAGTTGGAAGTTGTGTAACATGTGCATACAATTTGCTGTAGATTAGACTTTTTTAATCAGCCTTCCATTCCTACTGGTCAGAAGGTTTACAAGCTTATAAAAAATATTTGGGCTATTCAGAACAATGGCTTCATACTCCCAAAACATTTTAATACATTGTATTTTATTTATTTCAGTCTCAAACTTCAAGTAGCTGATGAGCAAGTACTTGACCAACATGCATACCTTATGCAACTTAAGCAACTGCAGGCTGACCCAGATTTGATTGCCAAGGAACACTTGGTGGAGAAGCACCTTCTAAAGAGACAGGTCATGGTGGCTTCCTGGGTGGCGTCATTTTTCAGTGAAAATTTTACAAGTGTTTCACATTGTGTTTTTAGTACTTTATGATGTCTCAAGTGATATGACTTACTTACTAAATGCCTTTTATCCCACCTGGGGCATAGGCCGTCTAAAAAATGTTCCATACATCTTGTTCCTCAAGTGATTTCAAGTTTAGAAAGAAAAGCGTATTGTTCTTAATATTATATTATAAAATATGTGGTTCTTAAAAGGGGTTGATGAAACATATTTCATATATATTGTAAATAAATAAGATAATAATGCACACAAAAATATTAGTTTCCTTAAATGTCTTTAGCAATCATGTCACATAAGAGAAACATGTGTAAAATAGAATCCTGCTCAGTTAATGTACAAATTCTTTTCCTAGGCAAAATTTAGAGAGAAGTTAAACAACATAATGATCAACAAGGCAAAGTTGGAACATTCTCAAGGCACTGATGTAGGCAACAATGCCAACCACACTTTATCAGCCAGGGCTTCCATGGAGGACATGTGTGGTCAGCTCAAACAGGGGAAAGGTGCACTCAATACTAGGCAGGTTTATGACATGCTCAAAGCAGAGGAGAAGAAACAGCAGAAGGTGAGCTTGTATTTACTAATTACCAAGCAGAAGACCAGCTTTTAGCAGTGGACCCTCTTTGAGCATTAGATCAGCTTTATCAGTAGATCAGCTTTTAGCAGTAGATCATTTATAAGCTGCAGATCATCTTTATCAGTAGATCATCTTTTAGCAGTAGATCATCTTTTAGCAGTAGATCATCTTTTAGCAGTAGATCATCTTTTAGCAGCAGATCATCTTTTAGCAGCAGATCCTCTTTCAGCAGTAGATCATCTTTTAGCAGTAGATCAGCTTTTAGCAGTAGATCATCTTTTAGCAGTAGATCAGCTTTTAGCATTAGATCATCTTTAAGCAGATCATCTTTTAACAGTAGATCATCTTTTAGCAGTAGATCATTTAAAAGTAGCAGATCATCTTTATCAGTAGATCATTTTTTAGCAGTAGATCCTCTTTTAGCAGTAGATCATCTTTTAGCAGCAGATCCTCTTTTAGCAGTAGATCATCTTTTAGTATTAGATCATCTTTTAGCAGTAGATCATCTTTTAGCAGCAGATCCTCTTTTTGCAGTAGATTATCTTTTAGCAGTAGATCATCTTTTAGCAGCAGATCATCTTTTAGCAGCAGATCATTTTTATCAGTAGATCAGCTTTTAGCAGCAGATCAACTTTTTGCTGTAGATCATCTTTTAGCACCATATCATCTTTTTGCAGTGGATCATCTTTTACCAGCAGATCATCTTTATCAGAGATCATCTTTTAGCAGTAGATCATCTTTGAATCTATTTCTGAAATATTTTTTTTTACCTAAGAGCGTTGATGAGGTACAGTTGATAAATTTCATTTGTAGATTTGTGAGTTATTGATGGAGTTATTCTAAGGCTTATGTAGTGTGTTGTGGAATGATTGAACTTTTATTTTTGAGGCATGTGTTACTGCATAAATGTGGGACTTGACGTCTTAACATTTGTTCTGATCTGTTCTATAAGACAAATTTAAAGATAATCAAAGAGCCCCTAAAAACAAAGTTTTTCTTATAAACCCTTCACAAAATGTCGCATTGGGAAATGGGTTAAGGGGAGGGGGGGGGGGGGCTGACATTGTAACAAAACAAGCATATAAGTTATAGAAGTCACCCACTTTATAAGAATTCCAATTAGTGCCCACATTCCCCCTCCATCCTCCAGGAATCGCAACCAACTTTTTTTCATGCCCCTGAACTATGTTAATATTCCAATGACCCACCTGCTTTTACAACACAGATTAATTTCACCAACTATTTCAGAAAAACAAAAGAAAATATAACGCACTTGTGGTATTTTTTGTAATAGAATCTCATTTAGCTCAATTATCTGGAATTTTATTTCGTGAAATCAGTTTCATCATGTTTCCTTCATCTTCCCCTTGAAAAACAGGAAAAACTGATTTTTGGGGGTGGGGCTGGAAATTTGATAGAATGTGTTGTCATCAGCAAAGAGTCTATGGGCCAAGTTTCAGATTGATATGAAGAGCTGATTTTCAAAATGCTGTACATCCATTTTTGGGGTTTTGAGATTATTCAACTTTTTACAAAAAATTACATACTGCTTTTAGAGAATTAAATCATTTTTAAACAAGAATAAAATAGGAATATAATGTGTTTGTAAATAAACTTTACCATGTCCTAAAGGAGTGGCACTTTATTGTTTATAAGCTAAACCAAGTTTTATTTGTTGTCATTTGAAGCATAATTTTAATGATTTTCTTTGCTATTTTTTCTACTGTAGAAAGTTTCCTAGACGATTAACAGCTCAAAAAGCTTTGGAATTGTATTATGCTATTTCTTTTGATAACGAAGATGATTTATATGTAGAGCCCTCACATGATTCTGATAGTAGTAGTTTTAGAGGATTTGAGTTATAGAAGTGAAGATGAGGTATAAATACATCATAGGGTTTGGGGGAAAATGGTTTAGCATATAATGTTTTCACATTTTATGGTTCTTTTCTGTAAGTTATTTTATTTAAACTGAAGAAATTTGTTCACAAACATATAGTCCTTTCAATTACCTTTCATTTGATACCAAGTTTAGTCTTATAAACCAAAAAAAAAAATATTTTAAATATTTTTTAATAAACCCAACCTCTCACTCTTTTATGCACTTTTACAATGTACATTATTTCGATAAAAAAATTCCTCAGGGAAAGAGTTAAATGTACTTTAATCTTATTTTGGTCGTCTCTAAATGCAAAAAATAAAGCTTTTCTTCTAAAACTGCATTTCATCTAACAAGAAATTCAACAATGTGTTGTTGTTTTTTTAATTCAGTGTATCACCCCTAAGCAAGACTTGAATAAACTGGAACGTGAGAAAATGGTTATGGAACCCATGCAGCTGGCGGTGAAAGAAGCCGCAACACTTGAAAAACTCAGAGAACTGAAACAAATTCTCCGCATGTCCCAGCAGCAAAAAGATGTAGACTTTAGGCCGGGGCCGTATCTTGACATGGATCTACCCGTGAACTTTTTCCCTCACGTCTCCGGCAGTAAAGAAAACAACCTGTCCTCAAAATATCTACCGAATCAGCTTTTGGATAATTTTGACTTAGACACGGATCAAGCCTGCGGTCAAAGTTTGGTTCCAGCAGACAGAAATGGGTCACGGTCAAAGGATACACCTCCACTGTACTGCAGTGTTGATGCTCCAGACGACCATGTTAAGAGACTGCAAGAATACCTGGACCAGGTACTAAATAGCACTTACATAGACAAATTTGTGCCAGATTCAAGGGAAATCACTACAGATTGTCTTCATTCTAGGGAGGCAATCTCTGGAAATGTACACCAAAAATCACTCCTACAGCTAGACCAGCCCTTTCAACATAGCCAACTCGCCTGCAGTATAGATCCCATAGTTTATAGTGTTTCTCCTGGAAATGATGGCATAATGCCAACGGAGGTTCGGTCTCTGCATGACCCCCGGCACAGTCACAAATTCGCTCTGGATGACAGGCCCAATGAGTCCAGTTCTTTGGTGACTCCAGAGAAAAACAACATTGAAAGTCTCTATCAGAACAACTGCAATGTTAACCATCCTGGCAAGAAGGTCAGTCGCTCTAGGCAGCACTCAACTCTAGGGAATTCCAATAATTCCAATAGTGCCAAGCCACATTTGTCAGAAATAAATTCAGTTAAATGTGCTGCATCATGTCCAAGAAATCAAAATGCTTCATGTTCTTCTAAAAGTAACGAAGAGTCATCCTTAGAAGGGAAATTGTCAGTAGATTCAGATTTAAGACTGGAATCAAATCCGAGAATTACAACTAGAGATAATTTGCATGCCAGCGGGAAAGTTGCTGACTTAGAAAAAGATCCAAATTTTAAAGAAAACACTAATTCCGTGACAAGAGTAAGTAACAGTTTATCAGATAAATTGTTAGAGTTACAGCCCCTGAGCACAGATGCTGGGCTAAAAATAAAAAGTTCTTCAATACCGACGGAGGGGAAGCAAGCGTTGGTACTGTCCCCCAGTGAGTACATCAATTCAATGTCAGACACTGGTAAATTTGATGCTAGAAAAATGGGACTGTCTTGTCGAACATTTGAGACAGCTCTGTCCCACATGTTGGAGTGGGATGATCGAAAAAATGTTCCCAATTTACCATATGAGATAGACCCCTATGAGAAATATGCTCGGGTCTCAAAACCTCACAGCAGCCTGATTCATCATTCCAAGAACAGGTTTCTCTCTCCATATCAGGAAAAGCTAAAGGTGATGAGAAAGCTGAACGAAGGAAAAAATAAACTGGCATCAGCCTCTACAGACCAAAAACCAATTTTAAAAGGAATGTCTAAGGTATTCAATTTTTAGTTATCATCATTTCTATTTCTTTTAAATATTATTTTTGTATGCTTAAAAACTACTGTGCTAGCCAAATTATTTCTCTAATTTAACAGTGATTTAATCCTCAAATTGAAATCTGCTTGCAGGGTACACCAGAAGCTGACAAGTTGTTTAAATCTGAACTAAGATCCTACCATCAAGATTCAGCTGCTCTTGATTCTACACAAGGTATATCAAACTCAACATCAGTTTGCTATTATTCTCGTTAGATATTTTTAATTAAGTGTATTGTGTAGTTAAAATAAAGCCATTTATAATAATTGTATACATTTCTTTTTATCAACTTTCATAAATATATCCTGTACAGAGGATGGAGCATTGGAATAGTAATCATTTAAGTCTTAACGGCAGTTTTGATCATTTGCCCATTTTCATTTATTAGGTTTAAAAGACTATTCTCAGCTGTATTTGCTGAATAGGGCTATTGTAAACACACCACTATGCAACGGGGTCATGCTGAAAGTACTCCTCCTTCTCTTAATACTGTTTAAAATCATCTGATTCACTAGATCCTAGGGCGGCACTTGTTTTATTTGATCAGTGCAGTTAATGAACTTTCTCTCAGCCAATCCCAAGAATGCCATCAAACACAGTTTTAAAAAACACAATTTTTGGGCAAGTTGTGAAATAATTACCCCATATCATCATCATCTTGGACATGTGACGAGTGAGCTCAGCTACTCTTTGTGTTTGCAATGGATCTCACACCTTGGTTACGCATTGTGAAGTTTAGAAGAGCCCTTTCGTCTTCTTTGTCTCATGTGAGCACTATCTGTCAGTTTCATGTGACAACAGTAGACTAAGTCAGAGCTCCACAAAGTTGCGCAATGGCAAAGTCCTTCCATGGTGATGAAAATATGCCACAGGGATGGACAGTTTTTTTGGTAATATATAAACTTGTGTATCTCTGCAAGATATTGAAAAAAATTTGGTGTTGTGTAGTGCTAAGAGATTATAAATATGATATGTTACCAGGGTGCTTTCTCCACTACACTTACCATCTTGACAATTTACATTAATTCTTTTAGAATCTACTTGACAGTTTCTTTCCTTGTCTTCTTGCAGCTACTGCAACAACTGGAGACAAAAAGATCAATCAATTCAGAATGGATCCTTTCCAAATTAAACTCGCCTACTACAAGACCATGGACCACTTTGAGGAGGATGAAGATGAAGACTCTTTCTTTGGCCTGCAGCCTGATAGAACCAAACTCACCGCCATGACATCTGATGAAAGGGAGAGAACCTTCATGTCCGCAGTAGCTGCAGAGAAAGCCCGAGTAAATAAGATACGGAAAGCAAGAGAAGCTGCGGAGACAATACAGCGGCACTGGCGCAAATTTCGTGTCAGGCAGTAGACAGGATCTCCCCATTTTAAGTTGAAATTTCAATTCAAAGAAGCATTGACAGCATTGAAACTGATTCTTGGATCCAAGGGGAATAACTTAGAGTGTACTATAAAATTTAAAAACTAGGCCAAATTTAAAAATAACCTGAGCTAGACTTTATATTTAATTGAATGTTTATCTGGATGAAATATGATCATTCTTTTTGTTTGAAAATATCCCTAATTCAAAATATTTATTTGCTAAATTATGAGGGTTATTAGGTTAAATTAATCTACATATAATGTTAACTTATCACAAGGAAAAAAACTAGTTGCTTCCCCTGATCTATTAGTCACATAACGAAAGCTCATTTATGCATGCACTGTTGTGGGCTGATTATTTATATAGGATATCTTTCAACCTCAAAGTATTATGTGTCATCTATTTCGTGGCATATTTAATGTATAAAATTTGACTCAATGATTCTTAAGATGTAGAGAGGCATGATACCCCAACATCCCTCTCTATGCACATCCATAGAATTATTGTAGAATTTAACCTCTCGTAACTTAAGCAAAGAAAACTTTTTACACCAAAGATATTCACTGCTGAATACATTGGTTACTGTAAGTAACATAGTGTTTAGTTTGTAGTAATTCAAACTTTTCTTTGCCTGACCAAAGATAAGCCATTTGAGCATTACTCATCAGCTGAATTTTATATTGTGTAACCATTATCAAGGCTGTGGAATTGATGTGCACATAATTTGTCTATTATTGATCAGAAGCTGAAAGCACCAAACGAACTCCTGATATCAGTGGAAGTGAAATTGGGTTCAATGCTATGATTTTTAATAACAAAGAAGTTTATGAACATGCACTTTTTTTTTTGGTGATGTTTAGCCAATATGCAATACACCAATGAGGAGCTTGTCATTCATTTACCAGGTATTACACTCTTGAAAAGGACAACTACTAACAAAGTTATATCTTGGACACAAATAACCAAATTTGATTGGGAAATGGCTTTGCAGCCCAACACTGAAATGGTGTATAGGAGTGTCTCCTCTTACAAAAGACTTGGCTGATCTGGTTCACTGCAGGGGGCGCTGCTAGTCATAGTGATTTGGCTATGTTTATCAAAAGCTGAATTTATTTATATGAACATCTACTGTATGATACAGATTTGACTAATTCATTTCTTTTCAAATTCTTGTTGTGCACAGCATGGATACTTCATTTAGGAGCACTGTCGGGCCAGATAGATAAAAAAAACATTAACAAGGAAATTTGTAAAAATGTTCAGCATCATCAGGTCAAACATTTTTATTAGCATCTCATAAATATCGTAACATAAATAAATGCAACTCACAAATTGAATTATACATATATATATTTATATATTTTTATAGATTATGTTTGTTGTTGCAAAAACAATTCAACGGGGTGTAACATTTCCGACTAGGATAAACAAAACAATTTTAAATAAAGCAACATTGTGATAACTTATTGATTGGAATTCGTCTTCCTGGTTTGATTGCCTGGTCTGGTTTCATTTGTTGAGTTCAATGAACAAAACAAGTTGAGAAAATGAAGGGTTGCCTGAAATTGCCCTAAATCACTTGTCTGATTGACTAGATGAATTGAATCAGTGTTGAGGATGTCAGGAGCTGATCACTGACAAGCAAAACAAAGGTTTAGTTTAATTTTATTTTCATTGCAATTTATTACAATTACATTTTAAATGTTAAAAAAAATATATAATTACTCAACTAATTTCCAAATACATGTAAACATTTGAAGGGATTAAAAGATAATGACTACCGGTACTATATAGAGAGGGTAGCCACAAAATTTCTTCAAATGTTGTTTACATCTGATACTGAGGTCTCAAAGTAATTGAGAAAACAGGACCTGAGGTCTCAAAGTAATTGAGAAAACAGGACCTGAGGTCTCAAAGTAATTGAGAAAACAGGACCTGAGGTCTCAAAGTAATAGAGAAAACAGGACCTGAGGTCTCAAAGTAATAGAGAAAACAGGACCTGAGGTCTCAAAGTAATAGAGAAAACAGGACCTGAGGTCTCAAAGTAATAGAGAAAACAGGACCTGAGGTCTCAAAGTAATAGAGAAAACAGGACCTGAGGTCTCAAAGTAATAGAGAAAACAGGACCTGAGGTCTCAAAGTAATAGAGAAAACAGGACCTGAGGTCTCAAAGTAATAGAGAAAACAGGACCTGAGGTCTCAAANCCCCCCCCACCTTCCTCGATATTTTATTTTCTATAATATTTAACAAATACTTAAAATTAAATGAAGTGTTTTCGTTGTAGATAATTGAATTATTTACCGGTACATTAAAGCAAAAACACGGCTGAAGGACACACAATAATAAGTTATATCAACATTTTCAGGTTTATTAAGGTATAGCTGCAGCTAAACTCTAATCAAAGATCAACTTTTGGTACTGGTCATGAAGGTAGATCAATGTTGGTTTCTAGACAAGACCAGAAGCATCTTAATATTAATATTCTGATTACCAAACAAGCTCCTCAGATTATTAAATGTCCAGCCTCTTGCTTTTGATTTCCATTGCATTACACTTACACTACACATATGAAGTTCAAGTCTCCATGTTACACTAGAGTCTTCATCTCACACCAGGTTTCACCACATTACACCAGGGTCTCCATGTTGGCCGTCTCGTCAGAATGCATTGAACTGAGCCCCGTGTCTGAATTAGAATCGTTCGTGTCCTCCAGCTTCGTCCTGACCACCCCCTGGCCATTGGTCATTAGCGGACGATGTGCCACGCCAGCAATGAATTTAGCATCACGTGAGCTCTTCCCCGATTGTTTATTATACATAATGGGTATGTCATTTAGGTTGACCGTCATCACTTGTTTGGCGTCTGGAAGCGTACAGTGTTGGACAGTTTTTAAATGACCGTTGACTGGAGTTTGTGGTTGATACTCAGAATTCGCCGGATGTTGATAATGATCTTCAAAGATCTGACCGGGGGTCTTATGTCCAGTTTTAGCTAAAAAATATGGGTTGCTTCCCTTTGGTGAAATACTTTCCCAGTCTTGAGTGACGGCACCCGACACGTTGTGATTACCGTAATTTTTGGTCACGTGATTGTGGTGTGTGAATGATGTGCTGCCATTAACGGCGCTCGGCTCTGATTTATGCGTGAAAGTTTCTGAGGGCTTATCTCTGATTGGTACAGGGCCAGAAATCGCTGACATTCCATTCGACACCTTGGCTCCTCCCGTGGTTCGCTTCTCCGTAACGTTCGTGCTCATGCTCTCCCCATTGGTAACCCAAGTGGGCGGCTCGCTGCTGCTACTCTCACTTCTGTCTGTCTTCTCGCGGGCAGAATTCTGTTCATTTTTTATCCTGTTCATTTTGTTAGAGACGATGTGATACAAGGCACCCCTCCCGCCGTTTGAGATCCCGCCATTGATATCTTTATTCGGAGATGCGATGGGGGAAAGCTGTTCACCCCCGGATGAAAATGAAAAAATTCCTTCATGTGTCGATTCGCCGTGTGAAGCATTTTGTGCTGTACTGTGTGCCGTGTCATAGTTACGAAAACTTTTACTTTCAGCTTTGGCGCGTGGCCCGTCACTGCCGTAAAATAATGGGATGCCATGTACACCGTTCGCCGTTGAAGGCAAAGCGTTGTGAACAAACTGCACGTGACTAGAGTCCTGGTGCACGCCTACATGTTCGCCGTGATTAGGGACGCTGCTGGGTCTGTTGTGAGTATTTGTCCGGTGAATCTCGTGAGGGGCTCGAGTGTCCGTCACAGCAGTGGAGGCTCGTGTTTGCTCATTCTTCTGTCTGCCGGCGAGCGCTTCGCTTGTTTGCTGACCGTTGTGTATGTCTGTCTGTTGTTTGGTCGAGATAACCTCTTGTTTGTTGCTATAGGGTGTGCCACCAGGGACATCTAGCCTGCCTCTCTCTGACAGAGTTGGACGGTGGAGTACGTGAGCTTCAGTTGAACGAGTGCTGCCTGTAGAATCGATTCCCTTTGTCATGTCGGTTTGCTGTTTATATCCTTGCACTGAATTCAACAAATTCTCAGCAGAATTTTCTGCTCGTCCGCGCCGACTCAACCCCCTTCCAGCGACCTCATTCATGCTGAAACGAGGAGAGCCGCTGTCGTTGTTTAATCTGGGGTCACTAATGCCTTGGTCAAACAAATGACCACTGTTGTGGGCCGGACCGCTCGTGTCTCGCATTTCTCTCCATGAAGAAAGTTGCATGCCAGGGACAGCACCGTGAACTGGTCCATTGTCAGAACGTGAGACCTTGTTTGTGATACTTCGGGTATCTAGTTTATCAAATTGGAAAAGGTGTTCGTCTCTGCTAGGTATTTGACTTTCGTCTGTTGGGGCGTGAAAACGTTGAAAGGCGTTTTGGGCGCCTTCAGAATTGTGGATAGAATGTAGCGGTGGAGTTTCCAATCTGCCACCGGAATAAGTCTGACCTTCGTCTGCTCTTTTCAGATTTCTCGTCCTTTCGTAGCTCTCCTGCGAGGCGCGATAACAATTTGGCACTGAGACTTGAGCTTGAGGGTTATTTCTCCTAAAATCTCGCTGGTCGGACAACTCCAGTCCGTAGTGATTGACCACGAGGCTATTGTAAACCCTATGATTGGTCAAGTTAAAACCACCATTTTCACTGCGATTCATTTCAGCTCGTGGCCTGTCCACCGAATGAACCGTAGATCTTTCAGCAGATCTAGATCGATGCTTGAAACCACCTAAAGTTTTACCCTCATCATTCCTTCTCTCTGAACGTGAGTCCCTGGAGAATGTTACCCGATTCAAACTGGCGGGATCAGTCAGACGCTCAGAAAAAATTGGCCCAATGTTAGCATAGATGTGACTGCCCGAATCGTCCTTGAAACCCACACTCCCACGCAGCATGGCGTTACTGCTATTAACTGAGTTCTCTTTTCGTTGGTCGTGGTCGCCGAGTATGTCGAGGTCCTCGGTAAATTCACTGTCCTCTATAGCTTGGGAAAATGTCACGCTTTTTTTCTGAACAGAGGTCCGAGTGTCGCTGGCAGAGTTCTTGGAATGGACTTTGGTAGGAAGTTGAGATGAATAATTGGTCTTTTGAAACTTTGGAGAGTACGAGGATGTCTGTTCGTGGCTTGGAGAGTAAGAATCAGGTGGTCTGGAATACGATTTTGATACTTGACGCCTAGCTGTCTGAGCTGAGTTGGAATTTGATTGTTGAGGGTTTGGAGAGTAAGAGTTTAATTGTTGATTGTTTGGGGAGTAAGAATTTGATTGTTGAGGGTTTGGGGAGTAAGAATTTGATTGTTGAGGGTTTGGGGAGTAAGAATTTGATTGTTGAGGATTTGGTGAGTAAGAATTTGATTGTTGAGGGTTTGGGGAGTAAGAATTTGATTGTTGAGGGTTTGGAGAGTAATAATTTGATTGTTGAGGGTTTGGGGAGTAAGAGTTTAATTGTTGATTGTTTGGGGAGTAAGAATGTGATTGTTGAGGATTTGGCGAGTAAGAATGTGATTGTTGAGGGTTTGGAGAGTAAGAGTTTGATTGTTGATTGTTTGGGGAGTAAGAATGTGATTGTTGAGGATTTGGAGAGTAAGAATGTGATCGTTGAGGATTTGGAGAGTAAGAATGTGATTGTTGAGGATTTGGAGAGTAAGAGTTTGATTGTTGATTGTTTGGGGAGTAAGAGTGTGATTGTTGAGTGTTTGTTGGGGAGTAAGAATTAGATTGGTGGGGTTTTGCTGAATAAGATAAATGATGACTGTTGGCAATGTGTGTAGTAGGCTGCTCAGACAACTGGCTGCCCCAACCCCTCTCGAAAGGCCGGTACGTCTCCTTATAAAGGGGAGGAGAACTCGTGTCTGACGATTGCCGCGATGTTTGATTCGGCGCTGAATTGTCTCTCGTCTCCGCGGCATGTCCTATGTTGTGGTCAGAATCTAACATTTCCGAAACTTGACCGGCGCCGAGTCTCTCCTCACATCGTGACAGCTGGAGAGATGAACAGAAAAAAAAAATTGAAAGAATGATTAAAGGGTTTATGACTAAAAACTTCAACTTTGAGATACACCGGTAACAAAGTGCACACATTTGAATTTGAATATCTGTGCTTCTTAAAGTTGTTACTTTTTTTTTTGCTTTGCTAACTGAAGTTTCTTTCGATATACCTCTGATTTTAATAATAAATTCATTGTCTTTAAAAAAAATAATGGAAATTGGCCGACAAATCTATAGTGAAATCATTAAAAATTGGTGAATTTCAATGACGGCTTGTTACTGAGTTGCATTAATATAAAATAATCTCTAAGATCTTTTAATACTGATTATGACGTATATCAGCTACTCTCTAAACTAAAGCTGTGATCGTATCGTCAAGTAAAAATATAGTTTTAAAAATACCTCGTCTTGCAGCTCCTTGACCGCTTGGGACCTTTTATCCAAATGACCAAGACACAGGTCCATTTTCCTGTCCAGCTCTCGCTCGTTGTACTCATTAGTGACATGTACAGTCACTGCACGGATCATCTCCGTCTGATGACAAAAAAAAATCACATTTGTCTTCCACAGCTTACAGTCAAATACATGACACAAACTAGGTAACACCCATGTATTACTGTGATTTATTATTTATTGTAAATGTATCAATCATCTATCAGCAAACACGATTTACTCTACACCACTGAAGTCAAATGCACAAGCCATAAGATCGCCCACTAGAAGCAAAACAGAATTCAAGCAGGTGTTCAAGCAGGTGTAGAAGCATTCGGACCAACAACAAAAATAGAAATAACAAATGCCAGAAAGAGAAAGAAAGCCACACGAAAGGAGTTTGAATAGTATCAGGGTCTAAGGCTTAAATGCCAATAGTCCGATCACCTCACTGATGTCATAAGGCACTAAGGCAGTGATTCTCAACCTTCCTATTGCCGCGACCATCTAATACATTTCATCATGTTGTGGCGACCCCCCCCCCAACCCCCGGCCACAAAATTATTTTCGTTGCTACTTCATAACTGTAGAGCATATGTTTTTTCAGATGGTCTTAGGCGACCCATGGGAAAGGGTCGTGCATGTTGTGGCGACCCCCCCCCCCCAACCCCCGGCCACAAAATTATTTTCGTTGCTACTTCATAACTGTAGAGCATATGTTTTTTCAGATGGTCTTAGGCGACCCATGGGAAAGGGTCGTGCGACCCCCAAAGGGGTTGCTACTCATAGATTGAGAACCGCTGACCTAAGGCTTAAATGCCAATAGTCCTTTCTACAATCACTTCACTGCTGTCCCATCATGACTTAATAGTCCGATCACCTCACTGATGCCACATCATGACCTAAGGCTTAAATGCCAATAGTCATTTCTACAATCCCCTCACTGATGTAATCTCATGATGCTTGTAAACCCATGAAGTGATTCACCAATGTCAAAACCAATAAATGTCTTTGAAACAAGTCAATGGGGGAGAGCATACTTTTTTGTGTTAACGCTCTTCTTAATGAAATCATTTAACTTGGTCATCTTCTTACCCGTATATAACTGTCATCATTTTATTGACTTAATTTCATGCAATTTTCTAGAACTTTTAGCAAAAACGATTCAAAATCTGTAGCCGGGGCATTGTGGGAAATCAGACGGGTTGACCAATAGAAACAGTTTTAATAAACAACACCTGAAAACAAAAGTTTTCCGTGTAACTCCACTATAAAATGTGATATGGCGCAATGGGGCCGGGAGGGGGGGGGGTGGCTGGAAATTGGACATAACAAGTAACGCATTTTATGAACATTTTAAAAAAAAATGTGTTGTCATAGGCAACGAGTCTATACGAAAAGTTTCAGCTCGACAGGTTGACGGGAAGTGGGTCAATTAACCTCTCGAAGATTTTGCCCTAAATACACAAAAGTGAAGTTCATATAAAGAATTCAACAAGAGCTGAAGCGGTCTTTCCTTGGTTACCGTTCGAGCCTTCTAGTAAAGATTTCAACACGCTTTGAAGCTTCTTTTTAAATATGTTTTCACCATCTGGAAATATTTTTTCTAGCAGAAATGGCCACGTGCAAAATTTCGATTCTCTAGGACAAATATGAAATTTGAAACATGAAACACGATTTTTGTAAAGTGTGTAAAAATGGTAAGCAAATTTAAAACCATATATTTGTCTAACTTTATCTACTAAGTCTTCTTCAAGGTTGAATAGGGGCCTACCACCGGGTGTAGTTCTTTAGAAGGTGATACCCGTCTTGACACAGACATTGGGAGTGTATAGTAGAAAAAGCTACTTACTCTTGTACTTTCCAGTTCAGCATTCGCCTCCCCTTCCTTTTCGGCCACCAGCCCCATTTTCTCCGCCAAATGTTCTATTTCCGGGGTCATCTCTTTAATTTTGGTCTGCTCTTCTCCCAACCTCCGCTCCACGTGTGCGAGGTCATCACACAGACGGGAAATTTCTTCCAATTCCTGCAACGTGGATTCTCGGAAGACGGCGCTGAGGTCTTTAAGGTCAAGGCTGCTGAAAGACGAGCAGTCCAGGCTGCTGCTGCTCTCGCTGCTGTGGCTGTTGAGGTAGGAGTTTTGTACGTAGTCCTGGCCGTTCTGTTGGACACGGTGGTTATGAATCTGTGGGCCAGGAGTTGGACATTTAGGGTCAGTATCAAATATCGACGAAATTAATTCGAGTATGTATTTAAAGATACATGAGTCGATAGTTTCATTCAGGCGTAAAAAGGTGTGACCTACCCTTGACTCGTGTCTGTCGATGAGCCGATCTGTGTCATAGATCCTGTCTCCAATGTCCTGTATCTTCCTCTCCTGACTCACAACAAGTTTGACCACCTCTTCCAGGGACCGAAGCCTGCTACACGCCACACAGCCTCGTTTGTTGTGGCATCTGCGATGAGAAACAGGACATGTCTAGTCTACTACAAAATGATTTCGCCGTACCTCCCACATTGTGATTTTGTCGCCTTACCTCCCACATTGTGTATTTGTCGCCTTACCTCCCACATTGTGCATGCGTCGCCTTACCTCCCCTACTGCGATGCGCTTTTCTTGACCAAACAGTGAGTTATAAACTGCAAGGTTTCCAAAACTGAACTTCCCCAGCTTTATTAGCGGCTCATTTACACCTACCACCCGTCGGGCAACATACCTGCAGCTGGTGGTGTTCCGCGATCTATGTCTGCCGGATTTCTTGTGGCGCCGGCGACTACGTAGATAGAGACTGGACTCCCCGGGCAAGAAATAGTCATCGAGGCTGCGGAGGCTCAGCTGGACATTGGGCTGCTCCTCTCCCCAGGAAAACCAGATTTTTAAGATTTTCGTCCTTGACTAAATAGAATAGAAGAATGTAGAAAGCATTATTAGAATCACCATATATTTGTCTCAGAGCTGCCAGTATTTCATAACTCCATGCACTCATTTTCTCAAGCACTGTAAGAATCGGAAGAGCATTCCATTTGACTATACAGATGCATGTATTATTGTGTTTGGCTATATAGATACATGTATTATTGTGTTTGGCTATATAGATGCATGTATTATTGTGTTTGGCTATATAGATACATGTATTATTGTGTTTCGCTATATAGATACATGTATTATTGTGTTTGGCTATATAGATACATGTATTATTGTGTTTGGCTATATAGATGCATGTATTATTGTGTTTGGCTATATAGATACATGTATTATTGTGTTAGGCTATATAGATGCATGTATTATTGTGTTTGGCTATATAGATACATGTATTATTGTGTTTGGCTATATAGATACATGTATTATTGTGTTTGGCTATATAGATACATGTATTATTGTGTTTGGCTATATAGATACATGTATTATTGTGTTTGGCTATATAGATGCATGTATTATTGTGTTTGGCTATATAGATACATGTATTATTGTGTTTGGCTATATAGATACATGTATTATTGTGTTTGGCTATATAGATACATGTATTATTGTGTTTGGCTATATAGATACATGTATTATTGTGTTTGGCTATATAGATACATGTATTATTGTGTTTGGCTATATAGATACATGTATTATTGTGTTTGGGATATATCTATGTACATAATAACACAAACCGATATATCTAACATGTATTATTGTGTTTGGCTATATAGATACATGTATTATTGTGTTTGGCTATATAGATACATGTATTATTGTGTTTGGCTATATAAATGCATGTATTATTGTGTTTGGCTTTATAGATACATGTATTATTGTGTTTGGCTATATAGATACATGTATTATTGTGTTTGGCTATATAGATGCATGTATTATTGTGTTTGGCTTTATAGACACATGTATTATTGTGTTTGGCTTTATAGATACATGTATTATTGTGTTTGGCTATATAGATACATGTATTATTGTGTTTGGCTATATAGATACATGTATTATTGTGTTTGGCTATATAGATACATGTATTATTGTGTTTGGCTATATAGATACATGTATTATTGTGTTTGGCTTTATAGATACATGTATTATTGTGTTTGGCTTTATAGATGCATGTATTATTGTGTTTGGCTATATAGATGCATGTATTATTGTGTTTGGCTTTATAGATACATGTATTATTGTGTTTGGCTATATAGATACATGTATTATTGTGTTTGGCTATATAGATACATGTATTATTGTGTTTGGCTATATAGATAAATGTATTATTGTGTTTCGCTATATAGATACATGTATTATTGTGTTTGGCTATAGGGATACATGTATTTTTGTGTTTCGCTATATAGATACATGTATTATTGTGTTTGGCTATAGGGATACATGTATTTTTGTGTTTCGGTATATAGATACATGTATTATTGTGTTTGGCTTTATAGATACATGTATTATTGTGTTTGGCTATATAGATACATGTATTATTGTGTTTCGCTATATAGATACATGTATTATTGTATTTGGCTATATAGATACATGTATTATTGTGTTTGGCTATATAGATACATGTATTATTGTGTTTGGCTATATGGATGCATGTATTATTGTGTTTGGCTATATAGATACATGTATTATTGTGTTTGGCTATATAGATACATGTATTAATGTGTTTGGCTACAAGGATACATGTATTATTGTGTTTCGCTATATAGATACATGTATTATTGTGTTTCGCTATATAGATACATGTATTATTGTATTTGGCTATATAGATACATGTATTATTGTGTTTGGCTATATAGATGCATGTATTATTGTGTTTCGCTATATAGATACATGTATTATTGTGTTTGGCTATATAGATGCATGTATTATTGTGTTTGGCTATATAGATAGATGTATTATTGTATTTGGCTATATAGATGCATGTATTATTGTGTTTGGCTATATAGATACATGTATTATTGTGTTTGGCTATATAGATACATATATTATTGTGTTTGGCTTTATAGATGCATGTATTATTGTGTTTGGCTATATAGATGCATGTATTATTGTGTTTCGCTATATAGATACATGTATTATTGTGTTTCGCTATATAGATACATGCATTATTGTGTTTGGCTATATAGATACATGTATTATTGTGTTTGGCTATATAGATGCATGTATTGTTGTGTTTGGCTTTATAGATACATGTATTATTGTGTTTGGCTATATAGATACATGTATTATTGTGTTTGGCTATATAGATGCATGTATTATTGTGTTTGGCTTTATAGACACATGTATTATTGTGTTTGGCTTTATAGATACATGTATTATTGTGTTTGGCTATATAGATACATGTATTATTGTGTTTGGCTATATAGATACATGTATTATTGTGTTTGGCTATATAGATACATGTATTATTGTGTTTGGCTATATAGATACATGTATTATTGTGTTTGGCTTTATAGATACATGTATTATTGTGTTTGGCTTTATAGATGCATGTATTATTGTGTTTGGCTATATAGATGCATGTATTATTGTGTTTGGCTATATAGATACATGTATTATTGTGTTTGGCTTTATAGATACATGTATTATTGTGTTTGGCTATATGGATACATGTATTATTGTGTTTGGCTATATAGATACATGTATTATTGTGTTTGGCTATATAGATACATGTATTATTGTGTTTGGCTACAAGGATACATGTATTATTGTGTTTCGCTATATAGATACATGTATTATTGTGTTTCGCTATATAGATACATGTGTTATTGTATTTGGCTATATAGATACATGTATTATTGTGTTTGGCTATATAGATGCATGTATTATTGTGTTTGGCTATAGGGATACATGTATTTTTGTGTTTGACTATATAGATACATGTATTATTGTGTTTCGCTATATAGATACATGTATTATTGTATTTGGCTATATAGATACATGTATTATTGTGTTTGGCTATAGGGATACATGTATTATTGTGTTTGGCTATATAGATACATTTATTATTGTGTTTGGCTATATAGATACATGTATTATTGTGTTTGGCTATATAGATACATGTATTATTGTGTTTGGCTATATAGATACATGTATTATTGTGTTTCGCTATATAGATACATGTATTATTGTGTTTCGCTATATAGATACATGTATTATTGTGTTTGGCTATATAGATACATGTATTATTGTGTTTCGCTATATAGATACATGTATTATTGTATTTGGCTATATAGATACATGTATTATTGTGTTTGGCTATATAGATGCATGTATTATTGTGTTTGGCTATAGGGATACATGTATTTTTGTGTTTTACTATATAGATACATGTATTATTGTGTTTGACTATATAGATACATGTATTATTGTGGTGCAAACCCGCTAAATATTCAATCTTCCAATTATGCTGTAGGATTCTATTTTTTTTTTAAAAAAAGCAATTCTGGTTCTGTACAACAATCTGACTCCACTAAAGACCACGGGTGTTCTCAAGAAGTGTAACATAGTCATCTCTCCGGGCATTGATTTTGATACCAAGAGATCTATCAGGTAAACCATTGTAGAATTGTTAACAATGGTAAAGTGCATGCCTTTTTTGCATCAAGAGATCTATCAGGTTAACTATTCTAAAAATGTAAACATTCGCTGGGGGCACATGCAACATGAACTTAACGATGTAAAGGAAGGAATTGTTTTAATATTTCATATTTATCCAAGCTACTGGGTAAATCAAGTAATGTGTTCTGTAACCCATCGGGATACTCATAAAAATGAAACGATGTTACAGATTTTTGAAGTCTAACTGAAGACCGTTAAGATTTCCGTCTAAGTGATATCTGTTAACCAATGAACAAACACTGCCTCTACTATTGTATATCTTCTATCACCTGCTGGGGGAGTGATACCCATTGTCTACAGAATGGTCTCCTATCTGCCACGGAATTTCGCTAGATTCCTGTAAGTTCAATGTTTCCCAACGTTTGCAAATGTCGCAAACAGATTAACTCAGTCAACAAATAATCATGACAAATGGGTAGATTTGCCGGGCCGTGCTATAAAGACCATATAAATTAATCTTGAAACAGGAGCAGACCAAGCTGTCTGACGTCAAGTAGATATAATCGATGATTTTCAGGAGAAATGTGTGCTTTCTAAAGGAAAGGCAAGTACACAAATGGGAATACGAACAGTGGATACACAAAACACGGGAGGATGTAACGGGTACAAACTGAAACCAGTCGACTGGTCAAGCGTGACGATTAACTTACATGCAGATTTTTTTTTCAAATATTTGTTTCTTTAAACAATGTGTCACTTTCATCATTTTGATTGTCACGACTGACAGATTTATTTTGTTTGTGTGGATCCCGCCCACAAATGATCTCGAATATTCGTAATCACATGAGCCGTCTCTTTAAATGCAACGATGTGAACTTAACACAGCAAACGTATCGACTGGTTTAGCTCTATCGACAGGTCGTGGAAGTCGAAAACAATGGGTTTGACCACACTTCTGGCCCATTTTTAAATATTTTTTTTAAAGTTCATATCTGTACCCACTAGACAACTCCGCTCATCTGACAGTGGCAAACTCTCGATACCACGGGTTCGCCTTGAGACTTACGAGGGGCGTACTTTCGCATTTGCTGGTCCAACAATTTGAAACGCCCTTCCTGTCGCTCTCAGAAACAGCCAGACACTGGAGTCTTTCAAAACTGATTTAAAGACACATCTATTTCGCAAACACCTGCTGGGATAATGTTGTCTATCTAGCTATTATCTTGTGGATGTGTGATGGCCTGTGTTGTTTATGGTTGTTAGGTATGAAAGCCTTAGAATGGGTATTCTCGTATACAGTTTTTTTCAATGTTGCTTTTTGTATTTCAATGTGATATATTAAAGATTGTTTCATC